AGGAGAGGGGCTGGGGCTGTAGCTTAGTGGTAGAGCGCTCGCCGTGCACATGCGTGACCCTGTGTTCGATCCTCAGCACCACATAAAAATAAATGAATAAAATAAAGGTATTGTGCCCAACTACAACTAAAAAATAAATATTAAAAAAATATTAGGAGAGGGGCTGGGGCTGTAGCTCAGTGGTAAAGCACCTGAGGCACCAGGTTTAATCCTTAGCACCACATAAAAATAAGTAAATAAAGATATTGTATCCATCTACAACTAAAAAAAAATTAAATATTAGGAGAATAAAACCTACCTTTTACTTAGTGGCATCTGTAAAATACTTCCTAATATATTAGCACACTCATATATACTAATGTACAGAACTAGAAACAATTTTGACAGTCTACTTAATCAATACAGATAGTTCCCTACCCTCTTCCTAAAACTTGCAAAAGAATGTATTTTATAACCTTCTGAATCGTCATATTCTTCACAGAAGGAGTAAGTATTTTATAGTTCATTTACAACAGCTACCAGAGTATATAGCAAAGATTAAAGTCTATGAATATCAACAATAACAATTAAATTTGCAATGATAGAAAGGATTAAAAGTGTAATGCCTGTTAAATTAACATAGCAAATTACTAGAATCTTACTCATTTAAAAATGAGTCACATAGGAAAAATATGTACTAGAAAGTGAATTCTCATCAAGTGTGTGTATTCAAAGGTAAAACATTAATCATAGAATACAGAGATTTAAAAAGCAAAGTCTAGAATAATGGATAAAGATGTAGTGGACCAAAAATTATGGAAATGATAAATAATTCTGGAAAAATACTGGATTATTCTACCATGGTTCATTTTAACCTATTTCCAAGTCATTATTTTTATTTTTAACTGATACCTAAAAACAAAAAAAAAATACATATTAATGAGGTACCAAGTAATGTTTTAATACTAATCTACATTGCATAATGTTCACATTAGGTTAAACATATTTATCTCCTCAAAGTTTTATCATTTCTATGTGCTGAGAACTTTCAAAATCAGTAATGATTGTCAAAATTGTCTCAACTAGCAAATCTCCAAAGAGATCAGATGGCATTAATAAATGAGTATGTGCAGTAACATAATACAATGTATGTATGTAATAGACTACATTACACATTGAAAACATAAAATATGAAGCTTAAAGATTATTTTCAAAATTTCTAAGTAGAAAGAATACTAATTTCATCTGAATTCATCTAATTTCATCTGAAAACCTGGCCAAAATTCCAAAGGTGCATTTGAAAACAAAGTTATAAGAGAAGTTAATCCAAATAATTATATTGGCATTTAAAAGGCTAGCACAGCAAAAAAAAAAAAAAAAAAAAAGACACAAGTACTCAATCACACATGAGAACCTATAAAATTGTTTTAAAAATAAACAAGTGCACATTTAAGTTCCCTTGACAAAAATTATTATACACTATTATAACTAAACAACCTTCATGGTCATCCTAATTAATGGCAGTGCCAACATCATAATTTTACAAGTGGTATTCTTGTTAATATACTAGTACTTACTATTGCTGTGCTGCTAAAATCACCTAATGCACCTAAACACTGCCATTAACATAATTTGGTATTTCAATGGCAGATTTCATCAGAAATCTGTGATATTAATTCGTTAAAGATCAGTGTATGATACAAATATATTTCCATATAGACAACAAAATTAATACCTGCTTTTGTACTCTTGAGGGATAAGCAAAGACTAAGTAAAATCTGGCAAAATTGGGATGACTCCTAAATCATTCAACATATAAAATTATTCTGAGTGCTCTCTAGGTTATTAAAATGACACCCTGACATATAGTATAAACAATGCAGAAAAAAAAGCATGCCCACAGAAAAACACACAGATGAAATCCTTTGGAGGTGGGCAGAAGATGTAACAGCCATTTTTCTCTCCCATAGGTGAGAACATCCCAGAACACAAGGAAGGAACATTTTTTTAATAAGAAAAATAAAGGGGTTGCTAAGGATGTAACTCAGCAAGCTTACCTAGCATGTGTGAGGCCCTGGGTTCAATCCCCAGCACCACAAAAAAAAAAAAAAAATAGACAAAGGGATGAATAAAAACAAAGTCTCTCCCTGTCTTTGCCTCTCTTCAGTTTCTAAATGCCTTTTGAAGTGAA